ATAGTCAATAACGCAGATATAATAATTAACCTTAATTATATTATATCAAAGGATTAGGTTGAATTATTATGTACAATACCAAGATTTCTTATCAAAATATAATAATAAGATGGTAAAGATATAACTTAATTATTTAAATACGTTATAAAAAGCTTGACCTCCAAGTTATGTACATAGAGAGAGAGAGATATTAAAATATATTAGTATCTTAAATATATAAAATATAGTCATCAATTATGATCTGATAAATATCTGGGTAAACATGCAATGTTATGATGAGTTTCCATAATTATAAGGGTAGCTGGGAAAAACAATAGAGTGGACTTTGTTTGAGGTGTTGTTGGAAGTCGCATCCTACTTTGTTGAAGCATTTGAATTTAGAGAAAGTCATCGCCACTAGTGGCAATACATACAATATGCAAAATAATGTTCAACCAAAGTCAACTCGTTTATGGATTGGAAGTGCTCCAAACATTGCGCATATTCAAAATATAAAAAAATAAACTTCCCGAATACATGAACAAAAGTTATATAATTAAAAAGTACAATATTCTACATTAATTTATCACAAATATTTAAAATTATCCATCTACTTCACATTTCGGCCCCTTCCTTTCTGCTAAGATATTGTTTATCATGTAATATAAAAATTGAATGGCTGGCACTGTCGGACAGAAAACATAGAAAATGGGCCATTTTGGAGCACCATTATTGACTCTATAAAATTATAATTAAGACATTGTCATTGCCAAATTAAAGATTATCCCATTTTGACCGATGCAACTCCAACATGGGTAGAGGTTTCTGAAGGGAGTGAAAATATTATTAATGAACTAATTGCTCTGATTAATTACTTAATGAGTAAAGCAAAGGAGTGACCCAAAACTTGGCTACTGCAAGGTGTTGATCTGCCAATGGCATGTAAGATATTTATAGTTATCGTCGAAGAACCAGATAAGTGTAAAATATTAGTACTACACGATTATAATTTTGAAAGTTTGTCTATGTTGAGATAATAGCTCTGATAATTGGATGAAGCATACGTGCGTGTATATCAAAAACATTGACATAGTAATCATTGCTGCCCCCATTATTTTAGGTATAATAGTTCCAATATCAATTGATTTCCACTCTCAAGGGATATATATATTGACAATCATAATTAGACACCCTCTATCTAATGGTGGTCCACTAAATAATTACAGTCCACTAAATAATTACAGGGATTTTAAATAGAACGATTAAAAATTTTGAATACACACTAAAAAAATAAAAAAATAAAATAATATATAATACAATAATTATGGATAATCATACATCAATTAGAGAAACGTAAAATTAAGTTTAAAGTCTATTTCTTAAAATATAACTGCTTTTATTGAGATCTGAACATGAACCTTCAAATAAGTGACAAGATCTGAGTGGATTGAAGAATACTAATATGTACTCTTAAGGGTTGGAATGCAGAAGGAGATCCACCTATGAAAGATTCTTCGACGCTCAAGTCAGTAAGAAAGTTTAGAACTTTTCAGTAAGACAAAATGAGTATGAGTGAGTGTGTGTATTTTCTGTGAAATACCATATGTACGTATAAGACTTATGGATCATATGACTCATGTGATAAAAACAGATAATATCAATAAAATAACAACTTAGTGTATATATGATAATTAAAAGAATAATCACAATAATGTGACACCTTACTAGATATATAAATATCTTGCGAATATATGGTATTAAAGAATATCATGATGTAATCAAACTATCGAGATTTGGTCACATATACTGTTAATATATGAATATTTGCACCAATAAATAGACTCATAATTTAATAGGCTTAGTAGGGTCACATTACTTAGCATATTTATTGGGTCAGGTATGTACACAAGCCCTAAAACTCAGAAGTTTAATTAACGCTTGAGGAACATTCGTTGCAATTGGGATTGGCCTTTTGGTTGAGTCATAATTGGCTTTAACATTTGTGACTGACTATTTGGGCAAGTTGTATGTGGTCGTCTTTGACCATGTATGTGGACTTTGTCGTCACCTTATCTTAATGGGTTTTACTGTATGAGTATATGTTGGTTCAGGCAGACCTTGTTTGTACTGCCGACTTAGATAGGTTCTGGTGCCGACTTAGGGGGATTGGTGCTACTAGCTTAGGCAAGCTTCACTCTTGTTATCAACTTGTTTGTTTTGTGTTGACGACTTGAGCACACTCTTATGCTCGATCATCTTTTCGAGTTAGTGATAACATTATTGGTAACTGAAGAACATTAATGATGGGTTTATCTAAAACATCGCAATGATTATTGCTCTAGGATGCAAAACGTCATTTCACATTAAATGATTTTGATTGAAGCTAACGTGGCCGCATCTTAGCAATTGAACTCGGGGAATGAAATGTCAAAAGTTACATGCAATCTTAGAGGAAAACGACGTCTAAGGGAACATTTTTCTTTTTAGAAATCCTTATATTCGTCTCCGTTTCACATTTCTCTCCATCTATGCTTTTTGTCTACCTTTACACTTCTTCGCACTTTCCTTCTTTCTGCCTGAGTTCATTATTCTTGCCTTCTTCATGTTTGCTCATCATTGTAGGTATGTCTTCTGATTCTTCTTTTGATGTTGGTTACGGTCATCGCCGCTTGATGCTAAAGTGGGAGATTACACCTATGTGTGAGGATTCATCTCTCACTTTTCCTTTTCTTCTACATGTGAGGGTTCATCTCTTGCTTTTCCTTTTCTTTTTGATGAGAAGTTTAACTCGATGCTTGATGATCTGATAAGCATCAAGGAGGTGAGGGGGTATAGATTTCATCAGACAACTTTCTCGGCGCATCAACTGTAGGGATGCGTTGTGTGTCCCACATGTTGAGGATCTCGACGCTTTCTTTGAGGGTAAGGATAGAGATTATGTTAATTTTTCCTTTGAAGCGGGAACTCTAATCTTCTATTTTGATTACAAGGCATGGCGTGTTGCCTATTTGAAGAAGTAGAAGACCATGCCTACTAGCCTGACTCCTATAACGATTTCTCCTACTACTAACATCGGATAGGTAAAGGCATGTTCAAAATTGAATCCCTCAAAACTAAATCATGTCATTAGTTAAGGGCACATTCACTCATGAATCATTGTCAGGTGTATAAATTTGATTAAGTGCATGTTCACTCGAATTCAATTGAGTTAAAATTAATGAGTTACCACAATTATATCATTGGAGCAAATAAAGTAGCTAAAGATAAACGAACTATAAGAAAAGGAGCTCAAAGGCAATAATGAATAAACTTTAAATTATTTCCATTTTGTAAGAGTTGTTTACATAATGGGGGTCGATCCTACAACGATCAGCCTAAACACTAAAATCGATCGCTATAAGATCGAATAATAAAATAAAAAAAAAAAACTATAAACTCTTTACAAAAAGGAAAAAATAGATAACATAAACTAGACATAAGAAGGAATTGTGGCTTGTTGAACGACCTTAGGGTCATTGGTTGAAGGAGGCACTCCAACATCAACTTTGATGCATTGTCTTCATCTTTATTAGGAATATCTCGAATGTGTCTTAGCTCTCTATTGTAAAAAGCCTTATACATGTGGAACTTACCTTTTTCCACTGGATATTGTAAAAATAAATCACTTGATCAATAACCTTTAGGAAGCAAGCCTCCTATTGCCACATCAATTGTCTTTCAGCCTCCTCCAACTCATCGATAAAGAACATGTATTCTTATTCAAGTCTATCAAGTATTTCTAAGCCTTTTGGTGAGTAAGAAGAACATCATTGCAATTTCGCTACGTCAGATGTATGGTGATCAACCTTATTGATATTACTTGACGAACTTGGAATCAGAACAAGTGTAATTTTATCATTGCAATTATATATAAATCTACACTAGTGTTAGTTTAATCTTTGTTTTTTGTTTAGTGCATTATAATTTTTATTAGTGTATAAGAAAAAATATTTCATTAGAATTTAAAGAAAGTAAAGAAACATTTAAAATATTTTTTAATTTAAATATATTTTTCTTTTCATAGTTTTTTTAAAATATTTTTAAATTTTATCAATTTTTTTATTAACCTTTTCAAATTAATAAATGGTTAGATTTTCATAAAATTTATCCGGTACTCGAATTTAAAATATATGTAATTATAATTTATTTTTAAATATTTTATATTAACAAAAAAAATATCTTTTAATATTAAACATTTAATAATATTTTATTTTTGTATTTTTTTATTTTTTATAAAAATTAATTAATAAATATTAAAATAGTAAAAAAGTGAATACAAACACCAATATACATATACCTATTGTCTTATAATAGGACGAGATAAAAATATATATTCATTCATTTTGGAGATGGGTGTAGGAATATGTATTTTTTTGTTTAGGTGCGTATACAAATACCTAAACCCTTTTGCGTCCGTCTCATTACCTTGATTTTTCATTTTGTTCACTGTTCACTGTTACCGACTTAATTGCCCCAGTATGCGCAATCACGTTTTCATGCTTTTTTTTTTCTTTTTTGAGTATTTGGGCGTTTTGGTACTTTTTCAAAGAAGAAAAATACATCTGTATTGAAATAGAATTTAAAGTATAGGTCTAAATTTTTGTTTTTTTTTTGAAGATTCAGTTGATAATCCTATTTTCACTTGAAGGCAATTACAGAGACCCAAAACCTGTTAGTTTGATTAAATAGTTTTAGATTTAACGAACTTAAATTCACCATATACTAGTAGCTTTTAGAAGAAAAAGATTATTAGGGTTAATCTAATTTAAATCTAATTAAAATTTAAGAATTTTAATTTTCAATTTATATGCTTTTTATTGGTTTCATATATTAAATACATTTTAAATTATTCTCGTCGACACAAGTTTTCTTTGCTCAGTTGATGGAATTGTCATAGTAATCAGGTAGTGTCATTGATTAACATGGTTCATTTAATTCATTAACCAAGCTCAACAAACTAATCAATGAAATAAATCTCAAACTAAACTGATTGCAAACCTTCTCATATTTCTTACTGCCAGTAAACATTAACCATTGTGATCTTACATGGATGAATAATGCAAAAGAATATTTGGTGATAGAAAAAAACAATCACAGAAAGCTATTTGAATTGGTGATTCAAAATTTAATAGGTAGCAGCACTGTACAAATGATGTTTTTTTATGCCTCCAATACTTGTTTTGGGTCCCCGCTGCAGTTCATGTTTTCCAGGCGTTCTCTCTTGAGAGCAGTGAACTTAGCAGCTATTTCATCATAGTCTGGCAACTTAGGATGAACATGGTTAGGATGTTGATAATGACAAGAATATGTCCTTAACATGTCTTTGCCGTTTTGGTGCCTCTCTTGCGGTATGGTCATGGCCCTTGAATAGGTAGCTTCTGTTTCTATTCTTGTTGAGGACCAACTGGTCCTTCCATTGGAAACTTCAGGAGAAGCAGCTATTTCATCTTTTGTTTCATTGTTTCTCTTACCACCTACGCAATCTGAGTAGTTGAATGCACGACATTCAGCTGCATTACTTTCACTCTGAGGGATGGTAACCGATTCCTTTCCTTGGTTCAATTCATCATCCCAAAAGGGTTGGCAATGGCAACACTCATCATGCAGAACTCGTTGTTGAACATGTGTATCTGTTATCCCTCTCTTTTTCTTCAGTGATGGAGGTTCCAAATAGTCTCCATCATTGTAAAGGCAAAAGTAACAAGGCTGGTTCAAGCTGCAGCCACTCATTCTAAAGTTGAAAACTTGTCTTCTTGTGCCATCTTGGCGTTGACTTGACTGTATAACCATCCCTTCTTCTGAGAAACCGTTTAGCATCAGTCTCTTCTGGCCATCACAACTTGGTGGGGGAATTTCTTCTAGAAAAGGCTTATGGTGCTTTCTGTGAAAATGAGTCCTATGCTTATGAGCTGAGAGACTTTTGCATGGTTTGTGATAATATATCAGGTATCCAATATCCATAAGGCCTAGGTTTTCGACCAATGATCTCCTTCTTGATCTTTTCTCATGTTTCCTTTTGCTCTTTCTAGAGGTCCTTGTGCTTGAGTTCTCACTCTCTGATCCATCTTGACCCACATCACTCTCATCAAAACCAAACTGAGTTTTTTCTCTTCTGGATAGACCAGAAGATCTGAACTTTAATTGCATTTGGTCTTGGCTGACACACTCTTTTACTTCAGAAAACTCCTCCATGTCATCCACATATTGTACCATTTCTTCAGGACACGGAGGGAAACTTGCGCTTCGTGAAGAACATGTTAAAGCCAATCTTTCACCCTTGTTTTGCGTATCAAAATCTATAGAAGAAAGTAGCTCCGGAAAGTCTATCTTTGCTACTTCCTTTTCCAAAGGAAAACTCACGATATATGGGTGATATTGCTGAACAACAGGCACCATCGCAGAAGCAGATTCTGGAAGAGAAGAATCACTTGGTTTGGAGTTGAATGAATTAGCACATGTCATGTCTCTTTTCTTCTCTTCAATCTCCGAAGGGTAGACTTTAGATCCTGTAATTGAATCAATTTTGTGGGCATCACTTTCCACTAGTTGATACCCTTTATCTTCTTTCATCTGTACAAAGGCATTCGTATTAGTAAATGACAAGATTATAAACTCGTCAATACATTCAATGTAGTAAAGAAGAGTGTGACCTGCACTTGTTGCCAAAGGGGGTGGTAGTATTCTATAGCTAAGACCTCTTGTTGGAGGCAGTTATCTCTAGCTATTTCATCCAACATTCTGTACTTAGATTCATCCGGCACAGACTTTACAGACAGCTTCTCTTTCAACTGTGATTTAGTAATTCCATGAATAGGTACTCCTCACTACCAAATATGGAATATTTACTTTACTGTGAAATAAAAATAACTAATAAAGTAGTACTTGTTTGTTCACAAGATTCCCAGGAAATAGCTCCACAGCTGTAGTTGCAAATCTCTCACCATAACGCTGTCCAAAGAGGTTCCTGATGATAACAAGCTCGGGAAGTTCCCCACATCTTGCTGAAGCAAATATAAGGCTAGAAACTGCTTCATTAATGTCATTTGGACAGTCCCTGAAATTTGGAATGCAGAAGCATCAGAAAAAACAATGGGAAGTATGATGAGGTTGGCAAATGAATTTGATTTACACAGGTAGAAAGCAAGGAGTACCTGTGCCTCCTAATATAGGATAATTGTTTAAGTATAAATTCACAGAACTGATCTAACAATTCATATGCAGAAACTAGGCTTTCATCTCCTATAAGCTGCCCAACCTGAAGTTTTTAGAAAAGCTTTGGTTAAGATTTGGCATGCTTATGAAATATATACGTTGTTAATAGAGATTACAGAAAACAAAATAGAAAAACACTTGTGAGTTAGGTCACTAAATTAGAATAAAAACGTTTTTTCAAGGACTAAATACTTTTAGTTTACATCTTCTGAGATGTCATGCATAGTACGTCCCTAAATTGTCTACGTTGTAACAGAAAACAAAACTAAGATTTCTAATCTTAAAATAACTAGTGTCGTCAAAGAAACTTCAATCTTTTCGTCATCGAGGGCTTCATCAAGAAGAATTATAGAGACTAAAGTGCTCAACATGTACAAACAAGAAACATACGTAAATGACACACACTATCAGTAATTACATTTACAAGGAAAATTAACAAAACTAATACAAGACAGAGTGGCATATTAAGCTATTGAACAGTAACAAAACCTCCAATAAAACCCTGCAACAACTTTATTTTATGGAAAACCATCTTCAAAAACTCATACATAATGCAATGAAAAGTAAAAAACTACTCTAATTAGTAACATTAACTAACCCTGTTCAGTGCAGTTTCTTCATGGCCACCTTGTATTAGCTCTGCCAAGTCCTTTCGCAGTTGCCTGGCTATTGCAAGCCTCTTGTTCTTGAGTAGGCCGAGGCGGTACCGGGCTCTTTTGATCGTCCTCTTGCTGCAAACCACCAAAGCCAAAACAAAAACAAGAGTTACATAAACTTGAACGTGCACAAGCTCAAGGTTTGATCAATTTACATGCAGTTCAGTTACCATTTGGAAGCTTTGGACCAGCCGAAAAACATGCCAAACATATCTGTATATTGATGTTACTCTCTGAATTCATTAGAGACATGAAAAAGCAAGCTTTAGTTTATAGAAAGCAGTTTTGCAAACAAAGCAGAGAAAAGAAAAAAAAGTTACTAGAAGTGACGAAAAAGCACCTGCACCACGACAGTTACAGTTGAGGTTGAGGTTTGTGGAGATAGTTTAGATGAGAGTGGTTTGAAAAAGAGAGAGTGTGCCAAATTAGTGGGACTTAATTTGAAAGAAGAAGAAGGAGACAGTTGTGGTCTCTTTGAAAAATAACCGCTCCACTTCACCCCTGTTTTTCTGGAAAAAAATAAAATACACATTTTCTATTACCTCTTAAAACTACACAACTAAGTTAATTACAATTAAACATTTAAAAATCCTGCTAATTAACCACTTCTGACACATGTTTAGTAACAAATTGCAGAAATATGAAAACTTTATATTAAATTTCTATCTAGTGTTTTAAGCCCTGTTGTTTGCATTTCGTACAAAATAAATAATTCAAGATTGGCATTTAACATATGGTGATCAAGTGCAAGTTTAGATATAGTTAATCACAAGACTAATATTTGAAGGGATAATTAAAGTTGAGTATGAGAATAGAAGTAAGCAGGCGCATCAAAGAAACTAGTGTGGCTGAGGTTAATACTGAAGGAATTGTATGATTGAAGTGAACCGTAAGAAACACGCGCAGACACTGACACATGTTATTGTCATTAGTGAAAAAATTCAAAGAAAAGAAAATAAACATATTAGTTCAGGAAACTAATTTAATTATCTTTAACCAAGCGTGGCCGTTAGTTGTTAGCGTTTTTGTTAAGCAAAAACCGATAACCAATTCGACCCACTTCCTTGTAATACATAATTCTAGGACGTTCACCAACTCGTGTTTATATTTTGTTAAAAGGTTTCAAAAAATATAGAGATGAATACACACAAAGGAACATCATCGTCGTCATCATCATCTAAAGCTTTAAACTTGATTATTTTGGGGTCATTCTTAAATGAAAAATCTGTAAACGTACAATGATGAGTACCCAATGTGCGTATATTTTTTAGGAGGCAGCATCTTATGATTCATGTATGATGTTCTTGAGTTGCACTTTAGGTGGTTGTTGTTTGCTTGTTTTACGTGTACGAATCGTATGCTATTCTTTCTGTGTTGTCTTGTTATGTTTTTATCGTCGTTTACAATGTAGGGATTCGACAAATGGATAAGGAATAAAATTAGGTTGTAAGTTTATGGGTGTAATATTATTTCTTTTAGTAAATGTGAGAGGCTATCTTTTGTTCAATTCTTAGTATATGGGGTGAATTTATAGTTTTGGAATATTTCCAGTAGCTTTAGGAATTGTTATTCTAAACAAATAAAGATAAATTGTTAAATGATAAAGTCAAAATAGGAATTCATAACTTATCATGTACACAAAAACATCTAATAGCATACATAAAAAGTTGTTAGGATAAATTTTGAATCACTTGAATAATATATTAATAAGGTAAATTATAACTAAATCAATCTTATAAATTTAACTTATAAGACAAAAAATATATTTCATTTCTATATTATAATTTTATTTTACTTTTAACCGTGTGAAATTTCCATAATAATGAAAGAAAAAAATAAGGAAAAAAAAATTTCAATAAAATGTTACAATGAAATGGATTTAAAGTCTAATTCAACCCTATAAAATTGGTTTGTAAGGTGATTGACCTTTTCTTTAATCGATATGGGACTTTCAGCACACTCCTTCACGTCAGATGGATTTTAAGCCTAATTCAACCCTCACAAAATTTGACTTGTAAATGAGGTTTGCATTTACTTATATATTATAAATTGGTCTTATCTTTAGTCGATGTGAAATTTTTAACATGTATATGTAAACTAAATGTCAAATTTATTTAGTTTAGAAAAAAAAGAAAGTCCATATATAGAATAGTATTAAAATATATAAAACAAATAAGGAAGATGAAGAAGAATGTAGTTTGTAAAAAGATAAAAATTTAAGCAGGTATTAATATATATATTCATAGTATAGAAAAAGTTTAATACATTATTTGGTCCCTACTTTTAGGGGTTTGGTTCAAAGTAATCATACTTTTTTAGACCACATATTTCGTTAAAAAATGTTCAATCCGGTCTTTTCCACTCACGCAGTTAAAAACATAACGGTACAAATGCCATCATGGCATCTCATAAGCACGTGGCACACGTTAATAGGTGGATTTAAATGGTTTTTTAATTTAAAAAAAGTTTAAAAAGTTTAAAAAAATCTCTGTCATGTCATCATCACCATCTCCAGACAAACCCTAATTTCTCTCTAAGAAAACCTAGCCGCCGCACCATCCAGCGCCGTCACTGCCATCCTCGCTGGCACGTCCTCTCCAACGCATCACGCGCCACCACCAAAGCGTCTTCTCCATCCCTTGTTATGCCGCGACCACCAATCTTCACCATTTTCACCATTGCACCAGCCAAATCGTCGTCGTGCCAACAGCAATGCCGTCCAATCTCCACCACATAATCGTCCACCATATGCCGCTATTGCAGATCGGAATCGCCACTCTTCTCCACCACTAACCGCGTTGCTGCTTGCCTCCACCTGCAACCACAATCAGACCTGCAAGCAAACCGTGAAGACCTAGGGTTTCTCGCATTCTTGTCGCATAACTTTGGTGGTGGCGCGTGATACGTTGGAGAGGACGGCTGCCGGCGAGGATGGCGGTGACGGCGCTGGATGGTGTGGCGACTAGGGTTTCTTAGAGAGAAATTAGGGTTTGTTTGGAGATGGTGATGATGACGTGGTATGGACTTTTTTAAACTTTTTTTAAATTAAAAAATCATTTAAGTCCACCTATTAATGTGTACCACGTGCCTTATGAGATACCACGATGGCCTTTGCACCGTTATGTTTTTAACTGCGTGAGCGGAAAGAACTGGATTGAACATTTTTTAACGAAATATAGAGTTTTACTTAACTTTGTTAAAAGGTAGAATTACTTTGAACCAAGCCCCTAAAATTAGGGACCAAATGATGTATTAAACTTATAGAAAAATAACAAAAGCAAAGACATTGATACCTTTTAAAGTAGCATAGAGAAATAAAAGATGTAATGAGCTTTGCGAGCAGCAGATATTGCAACAACTATTTTGTCTATCCAATAGAACTTGAGCATGAACACGCCAATGATACGAGAATTCCTTTAGGAGAGCATTCACTTTGTTTTCTCTTGTTTTGGTTTTAGTGGTCCTATTTATAATCAACTAATTCTTTACCAGATTTAAGGTTTGAATCTTTGTAGGATTTATTACAATCTTCATATTTTCATTCAAATTATGTATTTATTAAAACTTGATTCTGATAAAATCTTTTTACATTTCTAAAAATAACTATACTTTGTCCTTCAGTATTTCTACAAGATTAATATACTTGATTGTAATGAAATCTTTCTATATTTCTAATAAATAAATATACTCTAATTTATTTATATTTCGACAAAATAAATATATTTTATCATGATAAAATACTTCTATATCTATTACAATATATTTATTATCTATTATAATTTATTATAATACAAGAAAAAATATGTTTAATATATCATTTGGTCCCTACTTTTAGGGGTTTGGTTCAAAGTGATTCTACGTTCTAAAAAAGTTCAGTAAGATCCCATATTTCCTTAAAAAATGTTCAATCCGGTCCTTTTCGCTCACACTGTTAAAAATATAACGGTGCAAATGTCACTGTGGCCAAACTTGAGTGAGTTGTGCAGTTTGATGAATACGTGGCACGTTTGAAGATGCTGCACTGTGTAAATATTTTTAAAAAATTAAAATGATGTAAGTTAAGGGCAAATCCCAACAGCCACCACTGTCAGATCGAGACCGGTGGGGAACCGCACTGACGTATCCCAGTGGGTATTGGAGGGAATCCGGCGAGACCCGGGGGAGCCACTAGCTGGGTATATATCCTCAACGAAGGCGACAACGGGGAGAGGAAGAACACGCTGCCTCCGGCAACTTGTATGTGAAATAAGAAGCAACCCTAAACTACATTCCAGAATAACTCGAGAGAGTGCGCAAGAGAGAAACCACAACTTTTTGTCCTCCACCATTTGCAGTCACATGATTTTCCAGGAACCAAGGGGCCTTTAAAGAATTCACTGGAAAACCCAAGTAAGGGGAGTTAACTTTTTGATGTATTGATTGAGCATGATGCGTTTCCTTTGAAACTTTTTAATCTTGAGAAACGGTGTGGATAGAAGTATACCCAATTGGAAGGTTGTGGGTTGTTAAGGAAAAATAATGGTTTGGGATGTTATTCCCAGAATATGAATGCACGGGTTGCAGGATTACAGTGCATGTGGTTTTGTAGTAAGGGATAAGTGCATATCATGCATTTCACTGCTAGGGATAAGTGCATGGGTGGAATATAAGAATGGTGAAGGGTTACAGGCTAAGGTTTTTGTTGTGCTCATTTTTAAATTTTGGGTCTATAAAATAGGTGTGTGGAAGCTAAAGGAATTTTCTTTGAAGATATAAAGATTGATGAGAGAGGTGCAGAGGTTATCTAATGGTCACAATTTTGTTGTTAATAAGCAATGATTCTTTGTTTTAGTTATATTGATGTCGTCCTAACAGTGAAATATCTAGTTTTATGGGTGATATAGGGTGGAATCTGGAGGCGAGTCTATAAAACTGGTGCATTGTTGGGTACTATCCAGAGAAATATTATCTCTCTAATCAATACATCAATATCTCTCTCTTCAACCATTAAAAGTCATTTACGTTTCTCTCTGTTTGCATTTAATTCTTTTCATTTACGTTTCTCTCTCTGTATTTAATTCTTTCAGTCATGTATTCATCAAACTGCACAGCTCACAGTGACATTGCACCGTTAACTGCGTGAGCGAAAAAGGACCAGATTGAACATTTTTTAACGAAATATGGGTCTTACTAAACTTTTTTAAAAGGTAGATCACTTGAAACCAAACTCCTAAAAATAGGAACCAAATGATATATTAAACCAAAAAAATATTATGAAATT